CTCTGTATCGAACCCCGTGCTGTCCCTGTCCTGGGAGTGTTTGATGGTGGACAGTGTAGAGAGAGATTTACTCTGTATCCAACCCCGTGCTGTCCCTGAATGGGGAGTGTTTGATGACGGACAGTGTAGCGGGAGCTTTACTCTGTATCTAACCCCATGCTGCCCCTCTCCCTCTCTCTGTGTTGCTACAGGAGGAGACCCCACTGTTTCTCGCTGCCCGGGAAGGGAGTTACGACACGGTACAGTTGTTGTTGGTAGAGCAGGCTAACCGGGAACTGGCCGACCACATGAGCTGTCTTCCTCGCGACATAGCGGCTCAGCGCCAACACCATGACATCGTGGAGCTGCTGGGGGAGTGGTGCGGGTCTGGAGACCTGGACCAGGCCTCAGCTACGCAGCCCTCAGCCTTCCCCCCTCCCCCGGCCCCTGCTCCTTCCCTTCCTCAGGCCCAGGCCCCCAGGAAGAAGGGGGGCAGGCATTGCTCCCTTCGGGGGCACACCCCCGTCCCCCCTCGTCCTCCCCAGATCGACCTGAACCACTCCCTGTACGTTCCCCTCCCCTCCTGCTATCGGGCCCCTTGCCCTTACCCCAGCCCGGGAGCCCACCACCGCTTCCTCCTGGCTCTCCCGGACCCCTTGGCCTGGAGGCCCGGGCCTCCCTGGGTGGGTTTCGGAATGGCCGAGGCTCCCGCTCCCCCTCCCAGGGTCCGGGAGCGGACCCCCTCCACCTCCAGCCCCTACCCCACACCCCCGTCCCAGCACGGCTACCCGTCCCCTCCCGACCCCGAGCTCGGACCCCAGGCTCCTCAGGTCACCCCCGGGAGACACCCATTCCTCACCCCATCCCCCGAGTCTCCCCCTGACGCCTGGTCCAGCTCTTCACCCCCTCCCCACTCCGAGCTCCCCAACTGGCCTGAGGGCCTCATCAGCCCAGCTTCTTAGACAGAGGCTGGACGCTGCCCCGTTCACACTCACTCACACTCACCTTTACACACTCACTCACACTCACCTTTACACAC